CAATTGCAAGGCCAAGTTTTTAGGAAAAGAGCGAAGATCGGTTGTTCTGTATTTATTTCAAGAAAAGCGATGCCGTTTTGGGATCGGCACACCGTGCTCACGGTGGGCCGATCCCACGGTATAATTTGCTTAATCACAATTGTATAAAGCTATGTCAACCAATATATCCTACGTACTCATCCAACTAAAAGCTCAATTACTTTGAAAACATAAGGAATAAAATAAAACAAAATCAAAAATTAAAGTAGAAGCAATCCCTTTAAGGAATGACCGAGAATAATAAATATCTTATCATTGGATAATCATACCGTAGTCCTTTTTCAAATAAAATCTTCAAAGTTTTTTTGAATAGTTGGTTTAATTTGAGTTAGTGTAATTTCGTCTATTGTGAACGGACCTGATGTCCTGATCCATTATATGTAGTCTGACTGGTCTTGTAAGATGTGGTGTTGTGGGTGTATATATACATATTTGAACATAGCTACTCACTCCGTCCCGATAAGATTGTCCATTTTACCTTTTCGGCAAGTCCCACTAAGATTGTCTTATACCAAATTTGGTAAATTATATGTGGCTCTAAACCATTCTTACTTTATTCTTACTTTATCAATTTAATATCATCCACATAAACTCACTTTTCTTAATAATCATGCCATCTTCTCATGTCATAATCTTAGTGGCACGGAGGTAGTATATATTTATGACTGGTCTTTTAGTTTAAACATAGTTTTAAAACGTGGACTGGTTTTATATTTTAAACACATTTTCAACAGAGTTATAGTTTACTTCGTATATAGTTTTAATAAACGGCGATCCCCTACCCGACCATTGTTGATATGGTCAAGCTTTGAAAGGATATGCCCACAGTCCACGTTATAATTTAATGATTCCATTATTCACTCGTTTCATAGTTTTTTTTTTTTGTTTTTGAAATACTTACTCACTCGTTTCATTACTTTCATCTACTCGGAATTACTGATTTCATTCCGACCGCGTCAATTATATTATAACCTCCCTCCCACTCCACTATATAATTCATAGCAAGCCACATACACAAAACAACCTCACACTATACTATCCATCCAAAACACATACACAAAACACAAGCACATACGTATTGAATTGATAAGAATGGCCAAGAAATCAGGGAATTCTCTCTTTGGCCTATTCAAGCTGAAGAAAAAGAAGGAACGACGAGATGAAGGAGATTCGGAGAGGGACGAGGCAGTGGTAAACAAGGAGAACGTGTACAGAATATATAGGAGCGACGAAGACCGTCTTAATTGGGTGGGTGACCCCCAAATTGATGCCAAAGCCACCGATTTCATCAACGCCATGAGGCTGCAGTATCGGAAGAGCAGCGACACCAACAACAACGATGAAGACGACGTCTGGAAACAACATTAATTAATTATATGGTGTACGTTTGAATTGGTTGTGTATATATATTCTCATAGATAGCATGCAACTTTGTTTTTCTAGCAGCTAGCGCAGCTTTAGGATGAATGAGTTAGCCACCGCAACTTAATTTAGTTGAAAATCCTAGCTAATTAATTATGCTTGCTAGCTTAGTAGTTTTTAATCTACTGGCTAGCTCTCTCCATCAGCTAGTATGCTCCTCTAGGCATACTGTATATATTGTATTCTCTATATGTACTTACAGAAGATTTCTGATTTTAACTTCTATGTCGTTGGCAAGTTTGATGAACGTAAGAAAAAAGGGATAATTCCTGAATTGGAGTAAAACATGATTAGAATTCCTAAATAGGAGGAGTTTAAGTTATTTATTCCCTAAATAGAACCACCAATTACCAAGGTTTTAAATAGCCGTAGCAGCAGCGGTAGCGGTAGCGGTCATGCGGTAGCGGCCTGTAGCCGACTGTAGCGGTTGCAGCGGCGTGAAATATTTTCAATTGCGGAAAACATAGATGTATTTTTTCACATCATTCACACAACATTTAATTTTGAGTTTCACTCCATGCATCACCATTAATGTATTTTTTCACAACATTTACACATTTACACGTCAAATAGTTCGTGATGTACTGCCGGAAATGTCAATAGCGGGCTGTAGCGGGCTGCGTAGCGGATTTTTCCGTGATTTGGAAATCACACACGAATAGCGGGCCGTAGCGGTAGCGGACCGCTATTTCAAACCATGCCAATTACTCATATACCCCTCTTCCTCACCTCTCGATTAAACCCTGTGGCCCTAAATCAATTGACGCCGCCCAGTTCATCCAAGTTGATCGATCTTCTCAGCGCCTATACTCTACAACGGCTTCACCATCTTCACCTTTTGTCGCCGCCCAATTTCAACTCCAGCACCTTCTCCAGTTTCGCCACCACTGTCGCCGCTTCTCTTCCCCGGATTTGCCTCCACAGTCGCCGGAGAGGTAACTCCTCCCCCGCTTCTTCTTCTTCTTCTTCTTCTTCTTCTTCTTCTTCTTCTTCTTCTTCTTCTTCTTCTTCTCCACTTTCTTCTTCTTCTTTCCTACTCCTCTTCATTCTCCTTTGTGCTCTGTTTTCATCTTCTTTTAATTTTTTATTTAATCAATGATTTCATTTCATTTTTTCATATTCTAAATTAAACCAATATGATTTAGATCTGAGAAATTGAGATACAAAAATTCAAGGCTTCCATGGTAATCTGGAATCGTTCAATTTCATGGTTTTTCCCAATTAATTTTGATAATTGCTATTCGTATTCAATTTAAACATGAAAGTGCCATAAGATCATTTTTATTCGAGCAGTGCCAAGTATACCAGTTTCATGACATTACAAATTGCCATTTTTACTCCAATGTCATGTTTTTCTATTCAAAAATGCCATGTTTTTGAAAATAATGGCAAATAATATCATTTTAAGACACTAACCACATCAAGATGATAATATTGTTTCTAGTGTCATGTTTTTTATCTTCAAATGTCATATTATTTTTTAAGTGTCATGATTTTTCTCTCAAAATGGCATATTTTCATATTTGTTAAAATATGTTACTGCAGTATGAAGATAGCAATGACTCTAGAAAGAGGCAGCGGTCAGCAAAATTACACGTCGGAGATCCACATGTTAGAAGAGGTGGTGGCGGCAGCAATAGATGCATCTGGTGGCAGCAGAGGCAAAGAAGGCGGCCAGTGGTGGTAGTCGGTAGATGCGTCGGTGATGTCAAATACAGCATCCGCCATGTCAGATGCAGCGGCGGCGGCCGTGCCAGATGCGGTGGCGACGTTCATGTCAGATGTGGTGACTAGTGTGCCGCCGGTGACAGAGTCGTTGACATGGGATTCACATAGTCATGGACTGAACCGAGCCCGATTCCGGGTCAGGCCTAGGCCCGGCCGGGCCAAAAAAAAAATCAGTGTGGCCCGGGACCAGCCCAGAAGCTGATCGGTGCCAGTCTAGGCCCGGGCCGGGCCGGGCCGGGCCGGGTCCGGTTCTTTTTTTTTTCTTGATTATTTTATCCCTTACCCCCCATCCCCCATTCTAGCCCATTTAAACCCAGCCCAAAGCCCCAAACAAAAAAAACAAGAATTGAAAAGGCCCGAATCGGGCCCGGAACCGGCCGGGCCGGTTCTCAATTCCTTCAGCCCGTACCCGCCCCCGGTTTCCTCTTCAATCCGGACCTAGACCGGGTGGCCCGAACCGGGTCCAAGCCTAGATTCAATCCTAGGGTCTGCGCATGATACTCCATATATTATAGGGAAAATGGAAACTAATAATCCAACCTTTTAGCGGTCTTCTTACAATAGTCCCACCTTTTGATTATTCATGAATAATCCAACCTTTGCACCTCATCTTCATTCACTGGTCCCTGACCGGTTGATGACCTGCTATTCCAAGTTATTTTCTTATCTTGGCAAAATATTATCTTTGTGAAAGGTGAGATTTATGGTATAATGATTTACAAAGATAAGAAAATAACTTGGAATAGGAGGTCATCAACCGGTCAGGGACCAGTGAATGAAGATAAGGTGCAAAGGTTGGATTATTCATGAATAATCAAAAGGTGGGACTATTGTAAGAAGACCGCTAAAAGGTTGGATTATTAGTTTCCATTTTCCCTATATTATAAGCTTCCTTTGTCGGGTCCATAGAACTAAAGAGGGGTAAATGGCTCAGAACAGCTAAAAATACTCGTATTTAAGAATTAAAAAACAATTGTTCCTATCTACCTCTATATAAAAAGAGGTGGAAAACCAGTTGGTTTTCCCGCCTAAAGTCTGGGGCAAAAGTGGATCGGGTCAAAGTCAGTAACGAGTTAGAATTCAACGGGTTAAATGGTGGGGAATAGTTATTGGCTGGGTCATTAAATGCACTGTCTTGACTATATATGAAATGTTATAAGCATCTGGGCATTCGGGATTGCAGGTTGACCGATTATATATATTAGTATATACTACCTCCGTAACATTGGGATGTTCCCATTTTAAAAGTAGGTAGATTAAGAATAGTGAAAGGAGATATGTATTATTAGGGGTATGATGGGAAGATAGTGAAATAATGTGATGGAATGAAGGATAAATCCAAAAAAAGTAGGTGTAATAGTGTATTATTTTTAAAATTATTGAGGGTATGATGGGAAGATTTAAAAATGAGAAGATATTAGTGTTACGTCCAAAAAAGGAAAGTGAGAAGATATTTACGTTACGGAGGTAGTAGCAAAATATCTTTTGGTAAAGCTGAAAAGCAATGATACATTAAATGCAACCTGCTAAGAGAGCATCTTTAATTTACTCAACCACTCCACAAGCAATTAATTCACCTTTGATTGATTTTCCAAATAGAGATAAAAATTCAAATTATGAGTTGGGTAGTTGGTTTTTATACGCAAATAGGAAACCCATTCAGTGAGGTACTGTTGGGCAATGTGTAACGAAATATCCAAAGGATATTTGAGCAGTCTAAATTATTATAGCAACCACCTCAGTGAAAGCCTAACTCCACCCCACTTCTACTATAAATAACACACTTACACAGCAATCCACATCACACTTCACTTGACTCACACACAACACCAAACCATTTTGCTACTAAGTTAACAATCAACAATGGCTGAGAGCTGCAAGGCAAATGGAATGCGGTCGTGTGACATCAGATCATACCAAGACAACATGGGCGGTTCGTGTGAGAGTGGTCAGTGTCTACGAAGTCGTTGCCCATGCCAGAGGTGGAAGCACAATGGAAATGATTCTTCATGATGAAGAGGTATATATTTTCTTTTTGGACGTAATTTCTTTCTTAAAGATTATCAGTTCATTTGAAGTTCTTTCTATGATCAGGGATCCAGCTATTTTGGCAATGTACAAGAAGTCAGAAGTTGATACTTTAGAACTAGATGATCTAGAGGAAAAGGAAATGGTAACCCACTTCTTCCAGCTCAGATTGCGCTGTACATATCTTCAAACCTAAATGTATTAAATGTGATGTCTTATTTTTTCAGTGCGGTTCTGTGAACGATGCTGACCTGACTGCAACAACGAATTTGGCGGGACAGAAAAGGATAAGGTAGATTACAAATTACTTTCATTTTTTGTAATAGATATGTTAATAAAATGCTTAGACATAACCCTTCATGTTCATGTTGTTTCAGGCCTGTGTCAATGAAAAAGTAGATGAAGAGACACCACAGAAATCACCCGAAAAAACGGTGGTTATAAATTTGGATGACTCAATGAAAAGATAGCTGGCTGATGAGCTTTCAGCAACTAAGCATGGCAGAAAGATGAGGGTTAAGATTAAGAAGGAAAAAGAGTAGACTACAGAGATGAGAGAGAAGCAGACTGCAGATTGTTTTTGCGAAAACTTGCATTTCTAAATTCTAATTGCACCGAAGACTGTTATTTGTTTGACTTAAGTCTATTTTAAATGCGCAAACTTTTAATTTGCTAAATGTTTTCGACTCTAACTCAGACTCTACTACGTATTATCTACTCCGTATGTAATAACTAGAGACTTCTATTTAGATGGGGAATCCTATCTTAGTCATGAATGGTCACCTACAGGCTATTAGCCCATTAGACTACTCCGTGTGTAGTTGTTAGTTAAATGTGTAAATGGGCCACAAGAGCCATATCAGTCCATTAGTCTCTTGTAATCCTCAAGTTAGATTTCCTTCCCTATAAAAGGAATCTAACTTGAGAGAAAAATAAGGCATTAATAAGGCATAGAGTATAGAGGCAGAATAGAGATAGAATAGCTTTCACGCTGCTCTCTCTCTCTAGAGGGAGAGTAGCATCCCATTTCATACGATGTACCTAGTTTCTCGACATTTTGATATTGAATGGGAAATCTATCTGCTTCTTCTCCATTTCTATGATTGTTTGGTTGTTAGAAATAGGGACTAACAAATATATATTCATTCCAACTTATATCCAATTGCATAAACACACCAAAAATCATGCACAGTATTTACGTCATCTGACAGTTTCTCTCTTCCCAACTGATCTCTTGCACCTCTGGTTTTTAATTGCTTTAGTTTATGTCTTCATCTTCTTAAATTATCACAAAAAGAATTATAGTTCTTTCCCAGACAGAAATATCAGAGTCGTGTTCTCCATCTATGATTGGAAAACTTCGGTACCCTTTTAAAAATGGGGTACCGTACCTACCATTCATTTGATTGGACAACATCACTTTATCATTTTTAATTTAGATTTAAATACTTCAACTTCAACATTCTGATTGGTTCAAGTGGACAAATGTATGATACCTTATGGGTACCATAGAATCTACCTTATATAAAAGGTCCACTTATATTTGTAAAAATGATGAGGAACGAAGGTTAGCTATGGTATTTAAAGTTCTACGGACTTTATATCAACAAAAAAGTGTTATCTATTTTATTAAACAAAATAGAGGCCGGCTATTAACTTGATATAGCCTATTTTTATAGGCTATATAGCCATTTTCTCCTTCCGCAAGTGTATATATATATATAGAGAGCTCTTCTCATCAGGCCGGCCTGACGGGCTGCCCCGTCCGGCCAAGCCCGTTTGGGCACCTTCCCGGTGGAATTTTTTGATGAAATTTTTTGAGCATGTTCCTCATCAAGTCTAGTTTGTCCATACCAAATTTCAGCTCAAAATTCGATCGGGAAGGTCGTCAAATGATTTTTGCAAGTTAACTGGTCCGGAAAATACATATTCCGGACCAATTAACTTGCAAAAATCATTTGACGACCTTCCCGATCGAATTTTGAGCTGAAATTTGGTATGGACAAACTAGACTTGATGAGGAACATGCTCAAAAAATTTCATCAAAAAATTCCACCGGGAAGGTGCCCAAACGGGCTCGGCCGGACGGGGCAGCCCGTCAGGCCGGCCTGATGAGATGATTTCTCTCTCTCTCTCTCTCTCTCTCTCTCTCTCTCTCTCTCTCTCTCTCTCTATATATATATATATATATATATATATATATATATATATATATATATGTATATATATACGGGGAGGTATTAATGAACGATATAAGCTTTTACACAAATACTTACGATCACGTGTAGTTTATTAGATTTATTAACATTTTAGTCAATAATTTTTAAAAAATATTTAAGAAAAACTTTTGAAATTTTTCTAAACTTTATGATTTATTTCTGCTTTTTAATCTTTAAATTAGTCATGATTCGAGCTTGTAGCATCTGAATGGATTACCATTTTGATAAGAAACTTTCCTGGTTGTTAGTCTCTCCTAAAATTTAAGACCGTAATCACAATTGTATAAAGCTATGTAACCTATGTTAACCAATATATCCTACGTACTTATCCGACTAAAAGCTCGATTACTTTGAAAACACAAAGAATAAAATAAAACAAAATCAAGAATTAAAGTAGAAGCAATCCCTTTAAGGAACGTCCGAAAGAATAATAAATATCTTATCATTGGATAATGATACCGTTGTCCTTTTTTCATATAAATTTTTAATTTTTTTTGAATAGTTGGTTTGATTTGAGTTCGTGTAATATCGCGTCAACACGTCAACAGGTCCTGATTATGGGTTGGTTTTCAAATGCTTTAAAAAGCACTTCTCAGCTTTTGGGTTAAATAAATCATTAACTTTATCAAACACTATAAACTTTTATTTTTCTCGACTTTCGTGTCAAAAGTGCTTTTACTATTTCTATTACACAAAAAACAATTATTTCACCAAACACTACAAACTTTTACTTTTCAAAATCACTTTTTTCTCAAACACTATCAACTTTTATTAAATCGCTTCTCCCCATTTCATTAAAAACACTTTTTTTAAAGCAGAAGTTGTTTCAAACACACCTTATATGTACTCGATCTGACCGGTTGTGCGAGATGCGGTAATGTGTGTGTACATACATTTTAGTGTCGTGCTACTTGTACACGAAATTTGTACATATTTTGTATACACAAGTTTAATTCTTTGTGTACATACACAACTTCCGAATGAATTGCCTGTGCATACAGACAACTAGGGGGCGTGTACATAAAATATGTACAAATTTCATGTACAAGTAGCATTTTTCTATATTTTAAACATAGTTTTATATTCATGACAAGGAAACACATTTTTCAACATAGTTTTAATAAGCCAAGTCGAGCTCTTGTAGTTCGATAACATCATTGCGACACACGAAGATATCACATATTTAGAACTCATTCGTGCCAAGAATGTTGAATTCTAACTTCGAACAAATACTAAAAGATACTTCATTATTAGAAAGTCTAGTAAAAAAACATAGTTTTAATAGACAATTTAAAAATAAAATGAGATCCCATGAGCGTTCCCTACCCATAGCCGATCTCTAAAGTCTAAAGTCTAAACGCCTCCCTTCCCGACCATTGTGGATATGGTCAAGCTTTGAAAGGATATGCCCACAGGCCACAGTTCACATGTTGAATTCCATTGTTTTTTTTTTGGGAATAATCATTCACTCGTTTCATTAGTTTCATCTACTCGGAATTGCTGATTTCATTCCAACCGCGTTAATTTTAACATCCCACCTACTCCACTATATAAGTCATACGCAAGCCCAACCAACCACATATACAAATCAACCGCCAAAACAACCTTGTTATACCATTTTCAGCTACTACTCCGTATAATACTCCCAAGCAAAAAAAACATCCACAAAACACATATTGAATTGATAAGAATGGCCAAGAAATCAGGGAATTCTCTCTTCAGACTATTCAAGCTGAAGAAAAAGAAGGAACGACGGGACGAAGGAGATTCGGAGAGGGACGAGGCGGTGGTAAAGAAGGAGAAGGTGTACAGAGTGTATAGGAGCGACGAAGACCGTCTCAATTGGGTGGGTGACCCCCAAATTGATGCCAAAGCCACCGCTTTCATCAACGCCATGAGACTGAAGTATCGGAAGAGCAGCGACACCAACGACAACGGCGACAACGTCTGGAAACAACATTAATCATTTATATGTCATACGTTTGAATTGGTTTTGTATATATATTGTCATAGATATAGCATGCAACTTTGTTTTTAAAGCAGCAAGCGCAGCGTTAGGATGAATGAATTAGCAGCAACTTTATTTAGTTGAAAAACCAGGCTAATTAAGCTTGCTAGCTTAGTAGTTTTTAATCTACTAGCAAGCTCTCTCGATCAGCTACTATGCTCCTCTATGCATACAGCATACTGTATAGATTGTATTCTCTCTATGTGATTACAGAGGATATCTGATGTTAACTTCTTTACTTCTCTGCCGTTGCCAAGTTCGATGAACGTAAGAAAAAACGACCCTAAGCTAGGGGACCGTCCCCTTGGACTTCTAAATTTTTCTACTATATATTAGGTATATATGTTTTCGCCCCCTTAACTTTTAGTTTTCAAAATTAATATATAGGCTCACATAATGTAATGCTTAATTGGAGATTTAAAAGAAGTAGAATCTAAAATAATTTACATAACTTAAACAAATAAACAATAAGACTCGTTGTTTAAGACTTAGGGTACCTAAAAATTCTTAGTTTTGAGATGTTTAATTATCTTTATTAGATAATTAGTACTCGATTTTGTAAGATATCAAAAGATATTGAATATCAGATACAGTAGTTAAATAGTATAAATGTTTGTTGACATTAAATTACACATTTCGTTTACCTCTTACTTTCTAAAAACAATTTGTTGAATAGATAATACTTTAACTTATTTTAGCATTAATACAAATATAATATGTACCATATATATGAATTAACATTACTACATATCATATTATTCTAAATATAATAATCTCATACATACTATTGTAATATTAAGAAAACTCATCATGACCCACAAATACCCTTCTTGGTAGACAAAAATCTCAATTCAAAAACCAATTCTTTATCCTGTTAAGATTCATGTGGTTAAACAAGACATAAGTTACTTAATGCGGTTGATGTGTAACTTTAACTTTAACCACTTTACCTTCAAATAATATCAATAAAATGTTATACCGGAGTATATCATATCCTTTCTTACTTTCAAATAATTTTCCTTTAATTTGTACATTTCTTAAGCTTTAATGTATCAATATTTTTTTCTGGAGCACTTATGACTATTAAATAAAAGTTATCTTTTCATTGTCTAAAATTAGAATTGGGAATATAATAGATTTAATTGTCATCGTGTATGTAGTATGTACTAATAGATTTAATAAGTTTATCAAGGATTATCAGGTTGCTTCAGGTCAGACTGTGAACTTACAGAAGAGTTCATTCATATGCGGGAAGCATGCTGCTTCTAGAGCTCATTTGATACATAATTTACTGGGAATGAGGAAAACTGAACTTCCCATGAGATACTTGGGTGTTAAACTGCATAAGGGCATTAACAGAATTCAGTACTGCAATAATATTATTAAACAGTTTGATGAAAAACTTTCAGCATGGAAACAAAGGAACTTATCTCAAGGAGGAAGGCTTATTCTGGTCAAACATGTCCTGAATTCCATCCCCTTGCACATCTTAGCTGCTGATACTCTTCCAAGGCAAGTAATTAATATTCTAGAAAAGAAAATGGCAGCTTTTATTTGGGGTTCAAGTTATGATCATCATAAACTGCATTGGGCTAGCTGGTCAAGACTTTGTCAACCCACAGAAGAAGGAGGCTGGGGAATTAGGTCTTTATCAACTCTTGAAAAAGCTTTTTCTATGAAGATTTGGTGGAAGTGGAAAACACAAAATTCTTTATGGACCTCTTTCTTTAAAGCTAGATATCCAAGAGATGCTACGGTTACTAAAATTACTGACTCCCCTATTTGGAAAAGACTTGGTAGAATAAACCAAAGTGTTGTGGAATTATGTCATATCAATGAG